GAGCAAATTGGACAGTTTCTTCTTCCTTATGAAAAGGTATTTTTCATCCTTTCAAGTACAGAAAAAAAAAATGGTTGCAAGGCATCTGATTTCAAAGCTAACATAACTGTTGCCCATGAAAGAAGAGCCATGGGAAGTTTAAAAGCCTCTTAGAAAGAAATGTAAGGTTTCTACTCTCATGCCGATACTTTGTATTCTTGAAGTTAAGTTGTTAGCTTTCTTTGTTATGTACAATTGAAAATAATCAAACAAAAATTCGTCCTTGAAGAAATTTTTTATTATGGCCAGGCATAACCTGGAAATGCCCAAGATCCTGGGAGAGGTTGTGGAACGGAAATTTCGTGCCGGAGCATTCTTTGAGTCTCAGATCAGGTAAGCATCTTTCTGTCCTAATCAGCCTGTTTTCACTGTTCTCTTCTTCCTTAAATTGTTGGGTTGTTGTTGTTCTTTTTAACACACGTGTGTGTGTGTGTGTGTGTGTGTGTGTGTGTGTGTGTGTGTGTGTGGGTAGTTGTATCCTCCCACAGAATGCAAGTTTCTTCAGGGCAGAGCCTGCTTTACTTTGTATATTCACTACGTCTATTTACTACAATGCTTTGCATGTAGTTGGTGCTTAAATGTTTGTGGAATTGCATTGTGAGGGTGGAAAAGGGGAAGAAATGGAAATTCCAACGGCATGGGGAAATGGCGATACTTTGGCTACTTCTACATTCTATTGTGGTCCCTCGTGAGCCAGCTGCTACAGACCTCTACACCTTGGTCAGGGAGGCAATAACACCTCAAAACAAAGGGAAACAACACGTATGATGCCCAACTACCACTACTGATAGCTCATACAATGCTCACAGACTCCGAGATATTCTAAGCATCTAACACCCCTCACCTATTTCAGGAGACAAAATAAATTCTATGGAGGAAAGTCTTTGAGGTATTTTTCACCTCCATTTTACTGAGGAAGAAATAGACTCAGAGAAGGTGGTCAAACGTCATATAAGTACAGGGGGTTAACCAGGGGATTTCTAATCCCCTGCTCAAGCTAGTAAGCTAATAGGGCACATATAGTCTTTGGACTTTCGATTGTATTTTTCTATAGAGCGCGTGGAAATATCCCTAAGTGTCACAAGGAGGACGCCTCTCAGTACCTGGGGATGAACTGTTTGGCTCAGACTGGGGATGAGGGCTGGGAAGGGCATAAGTATTTATATTGTACTTATGTGCCAAGCATTGTGCTTAGCGCTTTCCAAATATTATCTCATTTGATCCTTGCAACAACGCTGTGAGATAGGTTCTCATTACATAGTTGAGGGAAACAGAGGTTAAGTGACTTACCCAGGTCACACAGCTAGTAAATGTCTGAGGTTGGATTTGAACTCCAGTCTTCCCAACTCTAGGTCCAATGTCCTATCCACTGCACCACTCAGTTGCTTCAGACTATCGTGAGACTAAACTGTTTCCTTTTTGTCTTTCTACTCTCATCACCTTGTGCAATAGCTGGCATATAGTGTTTGACAAATATTTGTCCATTGATTGGACTGTTTTAGGAGCGGCTATATCTTTGTGCTCATCTTTAACAGAAAGTCTTCAGCCAAAGACTCCCGTCTCCCTTTTTTAGAAGACAGACTAGAGCAAAGTTAAAAAAGGACCTGCGTCCTTGGGTAGGGGAGGGATCCTCTCTGCCCAAGAATCACTAAAGACAGCTTTGAGAAAGACCATATGGGAACAGAGTGTGCTTTCACCTATGGAGGCCTGGTGGGGTGCAGGGATCCCAAGGTCTTGGTCCCAAACTTGGAGAGGCACAGGCATGACTATCTTAGTCCAAGAGAAGGCAGACATGAAGAGGGAAACCATGCGGTACGCGTATTGTGAGTTCCTGAACCCCATCTTCTGGAGGAGTTCCAACAGCTCCTTAACCCTTGGCCTTCTGAATGTGGGTGTGTGAAGGGGGTGGGCAATGGGGAGATAAGGATTGGGCAACAAAATCCAAGAAGGCAGATGTAATTTCCTAGGCAAAGCTAGGCTTTCAGAAAGAGGATTCAGCACAAGCATTAGGGCTGTAAGATTAGCAAAGAATTGTAAGTCACAACAGGGAGGTGGGAAAGATTTAACTTTTTCCTGTTGCTATAACTGTGAGTTATTTGGACTCCAAATTCAGTGTTCTTTTCACTATATCACTCTCTCCTTTCTCTTCTACCTCTCCCCGAATTCCTAATTAGGAGTCATCACTGTAGAAATCATGTCGAAGAACCACTAGCCAGTCCAATCAGAAATTACCTGGCACCCAGAAACTCCCAAGCAGATGTGGCACCGAGTCGTAGCCTGGGGCTGTTCTGCAAATGCAGTAGGAAATGGGCCCTGGTCAAGTTTTCAGCTCATACACATAATGGATATTGGGAGATGACACCTCAGAAGTGCAGATTTTTAGTTTATCCAAAGTAAATAGATGTTTTTTGACATAGGCAGAAAAACAGAAATAGAGGCGGTGCAGGGACCATAGAGTAATTGTCTCCATCTCATCTAGAACTCTGTCCAGAGTCTGTTTACAGATCTTTGCCTACATTGACACTTGTTACATTAACACAAGATCATAATTGTGGCCTGGAAAAAAGAGGAGAGGAAACATGATTTATAAAACAAGCCACCCAGCCATATCAATAAAACAAATATTTATCATAGAGGCATTTCTGTTTAGTGGAAAAAAGGAAAAGACTGGGAGGCAAGAAGCCTGGGTTCTAGTCCAAAGTCTGCCATAAGTTAGTCATGTGACCTGGATTAGATTAGATAATAATATCAGACATAATAATAATAATGATGATGATGATAATGATAGCAGCTAGGCTGTGCAGTGGATAGACCACTAGGCCTGGAATCATGAAGACCTCAGTTCAAATCCAGCTTCAGACACCAGCTATGTGAACCTGGGGAAGACATTTAACTTCTGATTGCCTCAGTTTCCTCAACTGTAAAATGGGGATAATAGTAAGCACTATTGTGTAAATACTGGCTATTATTATAGACTGCCATTTATACTTTTAGTCATTTCATTTGATACCATTGATAACCATTTGAATGATTTTCCCCATTAGATTGTAAGCTCATTGAAGTCAGGGACTCTCTTTTGCATTTTCTTTGTATTCCAGCTCTTAGCATAGTGCCTGGGACAGAAGGTGTTCAATAAATGTTTAATGACTGACTGACTGATTCTCCTGACAATCCTATGAGGCAGGCAGGATGATCTAAGGCCTGGGTTCGATTTCTAACCCAGCCACTTGTGAGCCATGCAACCTTTAGCAAGTCATTTCATCTCTTGGGTAAGTCACTTTTATTTCTTCTAGATCAAGTCTCTTCATTCGTAAAAGGTTCCTTTTCATTTTAATACCAGTACTTAGCACAATGCTTTGTCCACAGTAGTCACTTAATACATGTTTCTGGAAATGAACTGAATATTATTCTATGATGCATCCTGCCAGACTTAGTTCTTGAACAAGAATGTTGAGGCCTAGGAAAAAAGCTCCAAAAATTAGAGTAAATCATGACAGAGGGCCATTTTGAGTAATGCTGAAGGCAGGGAGACTTGGACCAAGACGAGCTAATATGAACCAATGAAGAACCACAAAAGGTGTGATTGGCACTGGACTGCTCTACTCCCAGCTCTGACATGTACTAGCTATGTGACCTTAGAAAAGCCACTTCTCTGAATCAGTTTCCTACCTGCAAAATGGTAATAATTTTTGCACAATTCAACCTCACAGTGTGGTCATGAGAAAAACACATTGTAAATTGTAAAGCTCTGAAACCCAACCTAAAAGGGAGCTGTCAGATTATTATAATCGTTTTATCCTCATCCTAACTCCACTTTACAGTTCAGACCCACTTGGGAAGACACAAACCATCCTCATACACTTGGGAAAGACTTAGAGTGGCAGAGACGGAGCAAGGAAGCCCCTATCATTCATGAGTAATGCCCTCACCCACTTCTGGGCTCGGTTCCCTAGTCTATTTTCCCCTTGTTCCCCTCTTCCTTCCACAATCACTGTGGACCACAGCAAGGCTGTCTCAGAGGTCCCAGAGAGGTCCAAGTTTTGAATTTTGTTCGAGAATAAAAATGATAAACCTTTCCAAAACGTTGACATCTGAAAAGTAAATATTTGGTTGCACAATTGGGGTTAAAACGAGGGTCAATCCATCAAACTCTCAGAGTGGCTCCCCACTGCCAAACACAGAAGGTAGGAAGCTGAGTGTGGTTTGTAAGATTATACCGCTCCTTCTCATTTAAGGGGCCCGTCAGCATTTCCATTCTGGATCCCACATTTTTTTTTTTTTGAGGCGTTTGTAACTGAGCCATTAAAAAACAAAACAAAAGAACCTGGACTGCAACTTGGCATCTCAAAGGGTCTGAGCTCCGGAGGGAGGTTTCTAAAGAATCCTTTCTAAATTCACTATGTTCCTCCTAAGTTGGGCCGGCTTTCTCACATACGCACACGCTCAACTTAACTTGACATGGTAGCCTCCTGATGGCTAGCCTCTAGACTCTAACCGAACTCAATGCCTTTGGTGCTGACTCCCGACACTGACACCCGCCCGGCGGGGTGCCAGGCTCTCCAAGTCTCACAGAGCTCTCGCCCCCACCCAAGCTCTGCTTCATTCCGGGTGCGCTCCGTTCTCAGCCTGTTAGAGCAGCCCCTCCCGGCTCGAATCCTTACCACCAACACTCAGAATGGCAGAGCATAGCTTGCTGTCCCCCCACCAGGCAGGGAACTCCTGCCCACCTGGCTACAGACCTGAAATCAGACTGAGGAGCGTTGGGAAAGGGAAACTGGATGCGAAGGTTGCCTTCGGCTCTCCCATGGAAAAAGGAAGGAGTCCTCCGTCCAGACCTCTTTCCAGCGGGTGCGCTGGGGTTGGTCGCTGCAGGACAGCCCAGGTGGGTGGCCCGGGTCTGGCTGGTCAGGGAAAAGAAGAGGACTGCGATGGGTTGGGGGGAGCGGCGAGGGACTACTTACAGGCGTTCAGCGTTGCGAGGGATCCCTCTGGGCACCGCCCGGAGGCCCAGCCCGTGGCAGTCCACGCTAGAGGCCGAACAGGTACACTTGGTGGGGCAGGCTGAGGCTGGGGGGCAGCTCAGGGCGCTTACCAGTAAGAGCACCAGAGCCAGCGCCCGCCAGAGGTGCGCGGAGCCGGCTTCGGTCCGACTGGGGGCCATGCTGTCCGGGGGCCCAGGCTGGCCGCGCTCGTGCCCGCAGCACAGCCCAGCACCCGGGGCCCGGCGGAGACTGTCCCGCCGGCCGGAATGCAGCCGACAGCAGCCGCTGGAGTGGCGGCTGCAGCGGGGAAGGCTGCGGCGAAGCAGAGAGCCGGCAGCTGGGCGCAGCGCAGCCGGGGGCGGCCTCGGGCGGGGGAGGGGAAAGGGAGGGAGTCGAGGCGCTGGAGAACCGGCGCTCCTGCCTGAGGGGGCGGGGCAGGGGGCCCTCGGCGGCTCGGAGGAGGGGGTGCCGGGGAGCGGGGACGGTCCTGAGCTCAGGCGCACGGGACGCTGGTGGAGAGGGGCGCACTGGGTGGCGGGGGCTCCATCCACGGGGCTCGGGCTGCCCCGCTCCGCATCGCCCAACCTGCCCAGGTGGGAAGGCGGGTAGCTAGCTGGGGTCCTGGCGCTGAAGCTGGGGCGGGGGTGAGGGTTGGCTCCGGCAGGCTGTGCGGAGCGCGGTGGGTGGTGGTGGCGGCAGGAGCAGCGGGGGCACGGGGTGGGCGAGCGAGCTGGACGGTTCTCCTTCTCTCCATTCACTGAGCAGGGCAGACACAGGAGACGTGGGGCCCACCCCTCCCGCCCCCCCAAAAACGCCAGCTCCGCCTCCTATTGGCTGCGCCACTTGTGATGTCAAGTAACTTGGGAACTTTGCAGAAGCCACGGCGAGTAAGGACGGGAGGGAGGGAGCTGTGGATAGGGGCGAGAGGGAATCGAAGTTGGGCCGGTGGGCGTCCAGGTGTACAGGACCGTCCCTGAAGGCAACACCGAGCACTGCTCAGAAACACACACACAAACCACTGCCTGCACTACTATACAGAAATCAGGGCCCACCCTAGGAGAAACTGTGAAGCTGGCGGTTTGTTTTCTGAACCTTCAACCTCCCGGGGCTGAGCTACCTTTCCCTTATCCTTGTCCTGGCTTAATGCTTTGGTCATAGTGCTTCGTACCACTATCAAAACCTGCTGTTGAGAAAGACTGACAGACTCATTCACAGTAAGGTATAAATAATTGATAATGTTTAATCTGTTACCCCATTGGGAGATTTGCATTTTACATTTCAATGGATCTGTGAACTCATCTTTGTAGGTATTCCCTGGAAAGATCCAGATCACAAATCACAACCGACAATTCACACCTGCCTATCCCATGAAAGACTACCTGTTTTCCAGCTGGTGTCTACAGAAAATGCTGGAGGTCTTTTGTAATTATTGTCATGTGAAACAGTGTCAGGGGCACGCTATTGAGTAGATAGAGTAGACAGAAACCCAGTGTGATTTTAGGTGTGCCTTCTCTGAAAGGCTCCTTTCAGTACAGCTAAAATGCGCTTTTAAAAAGACTGTTTATAAACACTTGCATTTTAGCTGGGGATGATAAAAACTTTAAAGCCAGCTAAAGAAATAACCCTTTCTGGAAAGTCATCTCCTAAATCTCAATGTCATTAACTCCAAAAGGTGTTGCAGACATAGGGTTATTACACATTCCCTCCCACTTACCCAGCCAGACTCATGCACCTTCACATGCTTTCATACCTTGCATCCAATGGATACACTTCCCATAGTGATACTAACCTCTCAGACTGGTATCCTTCACAAACCAGAGATACCTTATTGGACTTCAGTTTCTTCCTCTGAAAATGAGATGGGTTGGGCTAGAAATCCCTAAGGTCCTTTTCCACTTCTCACAGTTGGGACTGTATGACCCAGTGAGACCTTCACTCTTCAGAGTCAATCATATCTAGGACTCTACCTTTGTCCCTATTGTCAATTCTAGACACATTTCCCAGCAGTTTCCCTCCCACCCTCAGTGCTTTGGTGCACTGAACCAGGACAGGAAGCAGGAATGGAATGAAGGGGAAATTCTGCTAAGCTCAGAGGGCTAACTCAAATGCTCTCTGGGTTTTAGATTTTCTGCATCTAACCAACTCCATTTAATTCAACAAACATCTATTAAGATCCCACTATGAGCAGAACATTTTGGTAAGTGGAAGGGATATAAAGAGGGAATGTGACATTATCTTTGCCCTTAAGAGGTTTATTAGAGGGTTGTATGAATTGCAGAGAGATGAATACATACTTCACTTAAATTTGTTGAACTTTTTTTTAGGGGGGAGGGGAAGAATAGAGGAGAGAAAGGAAGGAAAATCTAGACTTATTTGAGTTTCACACACACACACACACACGGGGCTCACACACAGGCTTTGCATAGGGACTCTATCTGTGTCTAGCTGTCTGAATGTCTCACTCTCACTTTCTACTCCACACATTCCTTTTCCTTCACAAATAGCAAAAATGTCTGAAAGCTTCTGCATACCACCCCATTTAGTTTCCAGGACTTTTCCTGATGACCACTGTGTATTTGTAGTGGAAATGGCATATGGATTATTGTATAAAGACACAGACACACACTCTCTCTTTCTCTCTCTCTCTCTCTCTCTCTCTCTCTCTCTCTCTCTCTCTCTCTCTCTCTCTCTCCTCCTCCCTCCCTCCCTCCCTCTCTCCTCCCTCCCTCCTCCTCCTCTCTCCCTCCCTCCCTCCCTCTCTCCCTCCTTCCTCCTCACCTGCATATGTATGCAATTGACTACTTTTGCTTTCCAAGAAGCCTTATACTTCCGCCTACTCTTGCTCTGGCTTCTTTATCACTTGTTTCTCTTTCTGCAGTGGCATCGCCCTCTGGTGGCCAGAGAAATCCTCTGTTTCCATCCTTGGGGTGACTTCAGCATTTAAGAACTCCAAGCATCTTCCCTCTCTCCCTCCAAAATTCTCCTCCAAACCTTGAACCAATTTAGTACCAAGACTGAGGCAGATGAGAGAATTGGGCAAGGGCCCAAGGGCACAAAAGAGTCTGAGACTGTCTGGAGAAGAAAGTATTAGGGTTTTCTTTGTTTTCCCAAATGTATACTAAAGCTTTCTCCCCTTCTTGTGCAGTCGCAGTTGGGTTGGGTTTTAGACTGTCTCTCTGCTGCATTCATACCACAGCAGGGGGGCTGTGTTTTTCACAAAGACTTCTGGGAGATATTTCATTTGTTGGACAGAATCTTTAAATGATTTTGTAAAAGTTAAAAATCTTTTTTTTTCATGGACTTGGTTTCCTTTGCAGGAAGAAGTCAGAAAAGTAAGAGAATTCATTGCCAGGGAGGAGGAAAGTGGAAGATATATGAGGAACTGAGAAAAGCACCATTCCTCTTTCCTTTAATATATGTCTACATAATATGTATCTACATGCCTACAAAATCTGGCAGACCCTACCAAGAGTAGGCTAGGCATATGCCAAGGAGATCATGCCACTGGGCAGAATGTCTAAAGATGAATGACTAAGATCCCCAGTGTTATTTCACAGATGTTAAGAAAATGCACCTGTCCCCACAACATTTTTTTTCCTCCCTGCTGTCTGATAATTGGAATCTCTTTGAGGAGTTTTAGTCCTTAGAAATTCATAGATAGGTATGCAGGAGAAAGATATTTCCCCAAAAGATCACCTGGTCCAGCTCCTTGATTTAAAACAGGTAAGTTACTGTTGTACCCCACCTCTTTGGACAGATGAGGTAACTGGGGCCCAGAGACATCACTTGATTTGCCCATCTCCTTCCTACTAGTATAGATCCCCATTAAGATGTAAATCCCTTGGGAGAGGTAAACATATGAATCGGTATGTGGGAATGAATTCCAGATTCTTAGAGCAGGTTTTTGATCTAGGGAAAGGGAGCTCACAGAAGTAGGGTAAGGAATCATGGATTATAGCAGTGAGGTTGGGACATGACAAATATCTTAAATGAAATCCATCCTGGGGTTCAGGCTAGTGAAGCTCTTATTTCTGGGAAAAGTCAAACCACACTAGTGAGCTCTCAGATTCTTCCTCTCAGATTCTTCCGGGGAGTAGATGATGAGTCAGGGAAGCTGGCAAAATCTTTAAGTCGACCCAGTCTGTCTTACAACTCGGTTGAGCCTACTAACCCCAATAGGAGAAACTCAGTCACTTCCTTGAAGTTTAGGGAGCTGCAGAGTTCTTGGGCAGAGTTGATGAAACTCATTGCCCTCTGAGGAGAAGCAAAAGTGAAAGGCATAATGGGAAGGGGAGTGATCACACCCGTGCCTTGCCTGCCCTTTCAATGCTGCAAGTTGCAGACTTTTCTCATGTTTTAGCGGTGCAAGAGTCATCACCAGGGAAATGGTTCCCCAAATGTGAAGAGTATTAATCACCTAATTAACCAGGAACACCTGCTCATAAAACAAATCCTGAGGGGATTGGGAAGGGAAGGAGGAAGCTACTAGTAGCTTCCAAAAGTTGTTCCTGCCCTAGGTAGGCACTAGGGGCCTGAATCAGCTCTCCCACCACCTGTCAGGTTTATGGATTGTTTGGAAAACACCAGCTTGGTTAACAAGAAGAGATTAGCACACTTTCTGAGCTAGTCCTATAGTGCCTTCTATGCCTTCTCAGGCTCCTTAGACTAAACAGGAAGGGTCAAGTTAGGTCTTACCCAGAAGAAAGAGGAAAGGGAGCATGCTGAGGTAGAAAGGACTAGTCACCAGGAAACCATCTGGCTTCAAGTTCAAATCTCTCACATACTGGCAGTTTGACCAATCATTTCACCTCCGCCAATCTCAGTTTCATCTTATGAGGATGCAAGGATTTGAATGCACAAGCCCTTTAAAAATCGATCATTCTCATGATTCTAGCTAACCCACCTCCTGACAGAGACGAATACGCTAACTAGCATACATATTTTTGGATGTGGCCAATATGGGAATTTGCTTTGCTTGACTATGCTAATGTTCTATGAGAGTTTTCTTTTTTCTTTTCTCTTTTTTTCCAGTGTGAGGTGAGGGAGAAAAAATTTAAAATTTTAACAATTAAAAAAATTTTTTTTTAAATAAAATTTAATTTTAAAAATGTCTGTGATTCTATATGTTTGCTTATGTGACATACAACTAGAGACAACATGAATGTCTGCAGGCTCAAACCCCAAATACTGTTTTCATTGGCTTCCTTAAGCCCAACATTCATTTAACGAGGGGAAAAGCTTTTTAGTAGCCAATTTGAGATCAGGCATAATATAAAAATTACCCCCCAGTCAGCTAACAATTTAGAAAGAATACTGATGTTGGAATCTGAAGAGACCTGTTCGCTCTCTGCCGCTTTCTGTCACTCTGTGACAATGGACAAGTCACTCAGCCTCTCTAGCCTCATCTGTCAAACGGGCATAATAATATCAGCAGTCCCTATCTCAGAATTGTGGAAAGGACTGAAGGAGATCGATCAGTCAATCAACAAACATCATTACATTTTTACCATGTGTCAAGGGCCATTCTAGGTTCAATTACAAAAGTAAGATAGTTCTTGTCCTCAAGGAAGCAACTTTCTACTTGGGGGAATACAAAATTTTCAAAGGTGAGTAAACATGGGCTAAATGAAATTAAGTAGGCAGTGATTGAAGGAGGGCACCTAATAGCTGGAGGAATCAGGAAAGGCCCCTTAAAAGAGGTAGCATTTGGACTAAGCCTCGAAGGGAACTTGGGATTCCAAGAAGCAGAAGTGGGGGTGGAGGTGGGGGC